AATTTTGATGCAAAAAGGCACAAGTGATGCCTGCACACAGCGTGTGTGAGAGAGGAAGGGATAGAGTGGGAGAGAGAGAGCGAGAGAGAGAGAGAGAGAGTGAGTGAGTGAGTTGTGTGTGGTAGAGTAAGAGAATGAGAGCCGGGCTTAGCGGTTACGAATGCCACCACACACGCAATGCTTATGCACCTGCATCCTGTATACCACTTCCTCTTCCTGCACCGCCTGCCCCTCCCCCCCTCCCTCTAGCTCTTCTCCGCCCACACCCAAAGCCATGTGGTTTGGCCCGAGCGGCTGCTTTCCAAATGGACACAGAGTGCTCGCACCGCATACGTAACCCGAAAATGTAATTGAAAAATTATTTTGTTACACGTGTTGCCCTTGCAACGTTTCGCTGGCAGCCTCTGTCGATAATTTCGTGGCCGAGCTACAAATTTTAATTAATTTGCCAGCCCTCCAAAAAAAAAAAGAAAGAGAGAGAGAGAGAGAGAGAAGAGAAAAAATCGCTCACATCCAGAGCGAAGATTTTATCAACCAAGTCGCGAACTTTCTCTAGGCGTTGGACGCTAACTGGCCAACTGATTAGCATATAAATTACAACGGCACGCCCACACGCCCCCACGCACCATACCCACGCCCCATGCACATCTCCGTCCACATTTTCGACCAAATTGCAAATATGTTGTGAAAGCTTATTGATTTAGCATTAATTGTTTATTGTTTATAGTTTCCACTTAACCCCAATGTCCCCGAGAGGCTCTTCATTAATCCGCATGCCCATCAACGGGTGATCGAGCCGGGTATATTGGTTTCGGCTCACACGAAAGAGACGGCTAGAGTGGCTGGAATATCTTTGATTTTCTTAATATCGATAATTATCGATTAAATTTAACGCCCAGCTTGCTTAACTACTCTTCCTTTTCTGTGTATCGATAGTTATCGCTGTCGTTAGTTGTTACTTAAAGAGATATAGCTGATTGTCTAGTGAAAATCTTTTCAAAATATTTCGGCTCTCATCAAACCTTTGGCATATATCGCTAAAAATCGATTTCCACACTTGATGAATCTAAAAATTTCTTACAATTCAGTTAATTTAATAGTTAGGCCTCATAAATATTTCTTCATATATCGAACTTCTTAGTAATTCTTGCAATTAGCTTGTACAGGGTATCTGCTAGTCGTGCTCACACAAACGCACAGACTCCTTTACTGGTTTTTAAGAAGATTCGTGTCTGGCACGAAACTCAATTAACTTGTTAATTTATTTGTCATTTGCTTTGTTCGCATCGCCTGCAAAAATAACACAAAATTCTAGGTAAAAGCCCAGGCCGAAGTCGAGTCAAGCAGCAAGCGTCTGGGCACAGGTATGGCCAGGCTTGGCATGCTGCCTGTCTGGGAATGGAGTCTCACTGCTCTCTGGCTGACTTGCTGACTGGGCGGGCTCTGGGCCATGCAAGCGAACCGCCTCCATTTGATGGATATAACTATCTGTATCTAAGTGTAGTTGTTGGAGAGAGATGCTTGCCTAAACACATGCAAAGAGCGAGAGAGAGAGAGGGAGAGAGAGAGGGGGGAGGGGAAGTTTGTGTGTACAAGTCTCGGTGCTTGTTAGGCTCTGTTTGCTATAATACGAGCCACTCATCTTGTTTGTGGACAACTTTTCATTTCACTCTGAAACTTAAAGTTCATTCGCAAATCATTTTGAGCGCACTTTATTTGGTTTTCCTTGAACAACTGGATTTAATGAATGCTGGAGTCATCACTTCATTTTCCTTTATTGCTCATTGTATATCATTCAATGATCCTTATGCATCTGTTGTCATTCATATTACATGGTACTTCTAGCAGCATTATTATTATCTTATTATTATTATTGGCATTATTGTTATTATTATTATCTTTCTATGGTATTATTTATTTTAATTTAGATTTCCTAATAATTTCTCATCACTAATACTTTAAATTTCTTCTTTAATTTACCATTTATCATCATAATTATTATTAATTGCTCATTCATCACTTCTCGTTCATTGAGTGTTATAATTTATCATTCATTTATCATTCAATATATATAATTTATGATTGTCATTGATGAAACATTCATTCATCATTCTAAATTCACCATCATATAAGTTTTTATTAATTATATTTTATTTAAAAATCATTCATTATTATTCATACTTCATTATACATCACTTTATTATTATTTAGTATTCATACGCATTCGACATTAATTATCTATCCTTCACCATTTGTCGTTTATCATTCTACATATTCTCATTGATTAATCATTATAAGGGTATTTTTTATTAATTGTTCATACATCATTATTCATCAGTCATCATCAATCGTTTCTCATTTTATTGATTATTATTATTGATCACAAATTTCATTGACGATATACCAGATAAAACTTCTCATTCACTGTTGCTCTGTCATCATTCATCTTCAGTCATTCTTTATCATTCTTTACTTTCTTATTCATCATGGATCATTTTTTCATTCATTATTCATGCATATAATGGTGAATTCAGAATGATGAATGAAATGAGATCTATATATGATAATGATGTATCATCAATGACAATCATAAATTATATATATTGAATGATTCATCAAGCATCAGCAGTCGTGAATCACTGTTTGATGAGTCATTCTTCACGATTTATTTACGACTCATTTTCATTTGATGATATATTATTAATTCTATATCAGTTAGAAGTTCTCTTTCATAACTTATCACTCATCAATCGATCTATATAAAAACTACATTTAAATTGATTTAAATTGTGTTTTCAAATTGAAATTGAAATTGAAAATATATTCGATTTCGATTCGTTTCTCTGAGTGCATTGATGGGAAAATTCTTGTGTGAAAACTCTTGTATAGAACTAATTGTTGGCTTGAGTATATAGTAGATTTATGCCTGCTCTCTCACTCTCTCCACCTCTCTCTCTCACTCACTTTGTGCATTGTTTTAGTGCAACTCTTCTGGCTTCCATTATGTTTGAATGCATTATATTTGAAAGTTTTCAAAGTGCAGAGGCTTAAGCCAAAGGCCAAGCTGCCAAATACCAAACTAAGAGAGAGAGAGAGAGAGAAGGAGAGAGACAGGGGGAGGGTGAGTGTTGTTGGCTACTTGAGCACTGACATTTAGGCTGAATTGGGAAGTGGTTACGACGGCACCGGCTACCCTTCGACTGCCTTTAACTGTTTCTCGCACTCGTCCCAGCTGAAGAGCTGGCAAAGTTTTCGCTTTGTATAATTAAAACTAAACTAAACCAAATTGTTTACATGTGTCTTTTGTTGCAGTTATCATTGGTGGTTTAGCTGAGTGCGGGCGGCTGCCTGAGTGCAGACTGCTCCGACTTCGACTCCTGCTGCTCCTGCTGCTGTTCGTTTCATTCTTTTTGGTTTTTCTTTTCATTTTTTTTTTGCTGTTTGCTTTTCGCCGCTCTGCTTTGCACATGCATATGCAAGACGCTGCGCCGCGCCCACAAGTGAAACGCATGACACGCCCAACCTCAATGCCGCCCCAGCCGTTTTATTTAGCATTTTGTTGTTGTTGTTGTTTTTTTTTTCGGTTTTCTGCGGTTTTTAATTAAAATTAACTTTGTTTATTTAGCGCTTTTCTCCATGCAGGCAACACGCAGCCCCTCAGCCACGCCCCCGTCTCGCAGGCCTTGTCTTTCGTTCGCCTTCAAAGTGATGTTTACTTTAGCTGCTGTTGTTGTTGTTGCTGTTGTTGTTGCTGTTGTCGCTGCTGCAGTTGTCGCTGCTTGTAATTGCAGCCATTTGCGTTGTCCTTGCAGCAGTTCCGCATCCGCTATTCGCATCCGCATCCGCGCCGCTCTGTTGTTGTTAGCTTTACCTGTTGGCAGTCGGCTCATCCGACTGTCAACTGGCAAATGGCAACTGCCAGCTGTCGACTGCCAGAAGCGCTCGAGCTGAGTTTTGCAATCATCGTCGTCCTCATCAACTTTACCACTTGCTCAGTCACTCTTTCTCTCTCCCTCTCTCTCCCTCTCTCTCTCTCTCCCTCTCTCTCTCTCTCTCTCTCTGTCTGTCGCTCTTTTTCGGTTTGTGTAACTTTTGCAACTTTGGCCAAGTTTTTGTTATGCCTGTCGGCTTGCTAAGGCCCACGCGTCGCATGCTATGCCAGCCTCTTCTCACGAATTGCCGTGCCATGGCATACCCTGTAACGACATCTGAAGCTTTACAGTTGGCTCATCGATACCTTATTTTAACAATGAATGGCATGATCGACAGCTTTATTTATCGATACATGGACTATCGATAATACAGGAATTTGATCGATAGACAGTCTATCGATGATACATACTTTTGATCAATGGAAGGTCTATCGATAATACAGGCATTTTAGCGATAGTCGGCTTGAGGGCAGCTAGAGGGCGATCGAACCCTCTTATCGATAGCCAATCATAGCATATCTATTGACAGCACTTTGACTTGATCGATAACTGTTTAAAACCTTGTCAACTTATATAGATGTGGCCTATCGGTAGCATACTTATGAATAACGATAAATCGATATCATAAATACTATAAAGCAATCTTAGTGAAGTATATATACGATATATTTATATCTATTCGCAGTACTTAGTCTTAATCGATAACAATTTGAAAGCTCTCAACCATCAACTATTGGCCTATCGATAGCATACTTATAAATAAGGATAGCTAGAGAGCTATCAAACTAATATTAATAAAATATATATAAGATATATTTGTGTAGAACTGGTTGTCCCCTCAATTAAATGTAACCCGTAATACCCATTGGGCAAGTCACTTACTCGGCTACAGGGTATCGCTCTAGCCCACATACTTAGTGCTAGTTAGCTGCAGCCCGTTTGTCATTTTGATTATCGCATTTATTTGCCTTTCGATGCGCTTTCGTGTTTGTCTTGCACTTTGCGCAAATAAACCGAATAATAATGGGAACAACTATCAAATTACATCTCTTCTGGCGGGAGACGTTGCCTTCTGTCTCCTCTAGGCGTGGCTCTCCGTGTAGTAGTGTATCGGTTGAATATTGACTGCAGGCACTGCGGGCACTGAGGTCGAATTGTCTAGCGACTGCTCGTCCGTTACCATGCTGATGTGATCCTGGACGCGATCTCGATCCGATTCCCGCTCCTCATCCTGTTCCTGTTGCTCGTCCAGAAATTCACGCCTATTCGGATTGGCCGATTGTGCGGGTTGTTTGTTCGCATGCTCCATATACAGCTGCTCGAGCAGATCACGAAACAGCGTTGGATTCACATTGATGCTGACGCTCATCAGGACGAACCAATCGCCGTAGCCGGCACTGGAGAGCACCTGGCGCACATGCGCCTTGGGCATGCCGCGCAGGTGCGTGCGCAGCAGCTGCAGACGCAGCTCCGGACAGCAGATGAGCAGCAGGCGATAGAGTATATTGATGGCCGCCAGCATCGCAATGAACAGGAACCACACGTAGAGCACAGCGAAGAGCTTCTCGTTCAGTATGTTCAGCGGCAGTACGCAGAGTATGTCCAGCACTTTGGGCGATCCACTCGGTCCGTAGATGAACATCTCGCACTTGGCCACCTTCGGGAAGACGCGAGAGCTCATCAGATTCCACAGATTCCAATCGTAGACGGGTATGGCGGCCAGGGCGTGGATATATTTGTGCCAGAAGCCGTTGAAGATTACGTCCATTAGCCAAAAGTTGAAAACCTGTAAGTAAATGTTATCGATAACAGCAATCGATAGCATTGAATACTCACGCTGATGACCAGATTGAGAAGCTCGCAGAAGGCGTACTTGATCGAATAGCAGCAGTGGATGGCCGAGAAGCGAGCCCGAAAGTACTTCGTGAGCATGCGCAGCCGCATGCAGTAGGTCTCCTCGAGAATGAGGGCATCGCCGACCTCGCAGCAGAGCTGCTCCATGCGCTGGCCCTCCCACACCTTCCAGAGGTACGACGGGAAGTAGAAGAGCAGCGACTGGAAGAGCAGTATCATGAAGACCCACTGGTAGTAGCGCAAGTACATGCGCTTCGTCACGCCCCGTGTCTCTGGGCCGACGCCCTCCGCTATCGAGATGATGCGCGCGTACTGCTCGTTGTCCGCCAGGAGGGCGCTCAGGCCGCTCCTGTTGAACGTCAGGCGCTGGTGCTGGTGCTCGAGCAGCGCTAGCTCCGGCACGGGCTTGCTGGCATCGATGCTATCGTTCTCCATCGGCAGTATATAGGTGCCCATGGTCCAGCAATAGGATTGCACATATTCCGTGTGCTTCGTGGAGCTGAGGCAGAGTATCGGCTCGCCGAAATACTGCTTGGCCGACAGCAGGAACGTGCAGGTCAGCAGAATGACGATGGTGCACTTGGAGTGCAGCGTAAATATCGGATCGTAGATGCGCACCGTTTTCAAGCGCAAATACTTGGAGAGCGGCTTCACGGCGGCGTACATCCTGGGGCCCTTCGAAATGGTTCTCTTCGCTCTCTGATTTTCGACTTGCCGGGGATTAGCTCAGAGCCTGAAAATTCTATGTACTCGCTGACAGTTCGGCAAGAGCAAAAACTTGCGTGTCACACACATGCACACACACACACAGAGTCATACAAGAAATCGTGCGAGCGAGACGGAGAGAGAATGGATGAGTGAGCGAGTGAGACGTGTTTTGAGCACACGCTCACAGGCTACTCAGTTGCTACCCATAGAGTTGTCTCACTCTAACGCACGCTAGGCAGTGAGGCGCCAGTGTTGGTGAACGTGCAAGCAGAGATAAGAGCAATGGTGATTTTTATGAGCACTCTAGAGCTTATCATGCGATGATTGTGCGATTTTTATCGAAATAAATTGTGATTTATTTTAACTGCTCACATTTGATATAGTATATAAAATAACTCTAAACTTATTTTGTTACTACCAGATTATTTATAAAGTAAAGTAAGTGCTGCTAGAAAATATCTATACAGTTCTTAATCGATAGTATCGATATGCTTTCATCAACTTGAATTGGGTAACATTGCATTTGCATATACGAATACGGCCAAGGAATCGTTTTGATACCTAGAAGTCGTTATAACGGAGTCATAACAACGAGATTACACTATATATACATATATACATATATGTATATGTATGTATCGGTCAGAGCAAGCTCAAATATCGAATCAAGTCAATGTCTAAATAAACACATCTTGTTCTATTGCAATTCGCTTCTCTTTCTTCGAGCTCAACTATTTACTATTCATATAGTTATCGATAGTATCGATAACATCCAAGTTTCGTTGCGATCACATCTCTCTCTCTCTCTCTCTCTCTCTCTAGTATATTTTATAAATTGTGATGACTTTTGCTATTTGGCACGCATATTAATATATGGTATATATTGCCCAAGTGCCGCGCAAGGCCCGTTAGCATCGTGTGCATGCGGAGGATCACGAGCGCTGGGAACGACAACGAATGGCGGCAACAATAATAATAATAATAAAATGATTAATCGATGCTACATGACTGCATATACAAAGCAGGTGGGAGGTGGGTGGGTGGCAGTTGGGAGTTGGGAGATGTGGATGTGGATGTGGGTGACGTGAGCTAGGGTGGAAGGCAGGACGGGCAGGCTGGGCAGGGGTTGGCTGTAATTCCCAATGCTGTGTCGTCATTCGGCGTCATTACCAGCTACTCCTGCACACACCACTTCATTCCATACCTATTCTTCCATCGACCATCTCCATCACCATCACCATCACCATCATCATCATCATCATCGTCATTATTGTGAACATTCAACATCATCATTATCATTGGGCACGCGGCTGCCGTGCAAATGTTTATTGTGGGAATTCGTTTGCAGCTACAGCGACGTGTCGCCTCTACAGCTCCTCTCCATGCCCCCATCTCCTCTGCCATCTTTTGCCTCCCCTCCCCCATAGCTTCAATTCTGCTTGACGGCAAATTAAATTTATGAATTCTTTCGCTGGTGCGTGACCAGAGATTTACTATAATCAGGCATCGGGAATCAGCGAACACGCTCAGGAGACTAATTAGTCGAGTGTATCCACTGCCAGCTAGTGCCCAGCCAACCCAATCCCACCCTGCCACGCCCTCCGCCTACCTACCTATCGAGCATCGGCGCCCTCTTCTATTTCGTGCAATTACAAATACAAATTATAATTATAATTTCTCGTGGCGCATTGATTTCTTTGCCATGTCCATTGATTGCCATGAATTATACAACATGGGGTCAACTAAACTGACGAAGTGAGTTTTAGTTGGGGTCCGCTCGACGGGCAGATGCTCTATTTCGACAGGGAAGCGTATATGAAGAACTATCTGTGCTTTGGTATATTTATATAGTTTAAAATTGAATTATCGATTTTTATCGATAAGATAAAGTTATCGATACTTACATTTACACATACGAGAATATGAACTGTTACCTTCCTATTTATCTAATATAAATATTATAGATATATAAGCACTTGCCTAGATGCATTGACTTATTGAAATCGATATTTATCGATTTTTATCGAACAATTAAATGTATAGAATGACTTGTATACTGCTGCTCACATATCACCCATGCCATTGCATTGTGTCGAGGGTATCCAATGGCAATAGTTTACCATTTGCGGGCACTTGCCGCCAGGTGGCGCCAGCCATCGTCAGCAACGTCTGCGTTGACAGCATTTTCAATATTTATTGAAATCGCATGCATTATTTAAAGCGATTTACCCCACCATTTTTGACCGCAATAACCGAAAAACGTTTGTTGACTGCTGCCACGCCCACATTTTGGTGGGAGATTTGTGTGTGTGTGTGTGTGTGGGCGTCGGCATCGCTGTGCAATTCGCGCTTAAATAAATAAATTGAACAATTATGCGTGGTTGCGGTTCTTTTTGGCTTTGATGGAGTCCGCACTCAGTCCCCAGACATAATCCTATTACCATTCACTGTAACTCCGTTTGCGGTCATATTGTTTGCTCTTCTTCTGCCGGCCATATAGATAGATACCCTGTAATCTTACACATGCCCGCAACTGAGCCATTGACTGTACTCGACTGAGCAGCACCGTCCCTTAAGATTGCTTTACCTTTATATAGAGATAGAGCTTATCTGTACTCCACTGAGCTGCACCGTCCCTTAAGATTCCTTATTCTTTATATGGGTAGATCTATTGGGCGAGTAGCATCAAAAAATTATTTTATTTATTATTGATGAAATAAAACATATTTATATGAAATATATCATATATATTCTATTAAATAAAATAAATACAATTTTGTTTTGAAGGTAGAGTTCGTTAAACGGTGTTTGTCAGTCAAGCGCTGCTTAATAATACAGTTTGCATTTTTTGATTTAAGACTAAATATTAAGATTTGTATACATATGTATTTTCTGTCATTTTCCACCTTTTAGCATACTACAGGGTATCTGCCAGTCGAGCATGAATTGTAAATATAATATATATCGCTTTTCAATGCTGTTAAAATTGTATAACTTATGTTTTATCTAGATTATCTGTTGATTTTAGTCATATTTTATTACAGGGTATCTGCTAGTCGAGCAGATAACTCTATTTTCATTGAGAAGAACATATTATTTTCGTTCTATTATATTCATATATGTCAAATTCTCAATTAGTTTCCATCAGTTGATACCATATATATATTTTACAGGGTATCTGCTAGTCGCGCACAATCGTCCTATATTTGATTTGTTTTAGCTTATTGCTTTATCATAATATTCATGTATTTATTTACTTTTTTTATGGTATTCTCTACTATTCAACTTTTCTGATTACAGGGTATGTGCCAGTCGTTCAGCATTTGTTTTTTAATGTATATTATTTGCAGTTGAAATAACTCAAACAGCTGCGCAAAAATTAAACAACAATTGAAACTGAAATTTGCAGGTGTGCTTTCTAGATATGGGCGTGGCATTTGGTAAGCGAAAATGAAGAAGAAGAAGAAGGGATGAGGCAGCAGCAGCAACAGCAGCAGCAACAGCATGTTGTTGCCATAGCGCTGCGGTTATCTTTGTGCCTCTGCCTCGGCCACTTGTCAATTGCACTTGGATAGCGATTGCGATTGCGGCTCACAAAATGCGGCCGCAAGATGCTGCAGAGACAAAGCGAGAGGTAGATTAGAGCAAGCAACGAATGTGCGTGTGTGTGTGTGTGTGTGTGCGAGAGGGTGGTCTGGGTAGGGGACAGTGGCTAGCCTGGCCTGGCTGAGTAGCTGGCCTTTAATAATGCAACCGCTCTCAAATATGGCCAAGACTTCAATGTGCGTTGAGTGCGCCAGCTGCCCCGCAGCATGATTATTATTAGCATAGAGTGGAGATGGGGCCCATGCACACACATACATACATACATGGGCGTATGTGTGGTGGTGTGGGGTAGGCGTGGCACCTTGGGGGCGAGTCGCTGTTATTATTATGTGCCAACATGGTCGTCAACGTGATGGCAAGGCGAAGCGACGATATCAGCATATGTTACAGCATGCGTGTGTGTGTATGTGTATGTGTGTGTGTGTGTTGTCTGTGTGTGTGCGTGGCATCTAGCTGCCGTGCATTGTTCGATTAATGACTTAACGACGTGCGCTGAATAACTTTGATTTAGTGTCATCTCATTTGGTCAGCGCTCTCTCTCTCTCTCTCTTTCCCTCCCTGCCTATCTGCAACTCTCTGTATCTGTATCTGTGTGCGTGTGTGTGTGTGTGTGCGTGTGTGTAAACGTTCCAGCTAATTGTATTCATTTACTAAACACACACACATACTCACATATACCATTAAGCTATAAGCATGTGGTTCAACTTGAGCTTTTAATTAATCTGAAGCATTAAAGCATATATTATGCGCATTTATATACATATGCATAATAATATCCATGTATATGTATATATGTATATAGAAGTGTATACGTAATATAAAAAGCTGCAAGAAATAATATTTTAAAATATATAAAAACGTTAAATATTTTGGTATAGTCTTGAAAAATCCGTATCTATTTGAGTAATATTTATTATTAATTAACTATTTATTAGCTACTTTTTCTATGTCATGGCATATTTATAGAATTTTTTTTTTTTTTTTTTTTTTTTTTTTTTTTTAATTTTTT